TGCACTCGGGGTAGGGGGTCCCTCAGCCTGGCCTGTCGCTCTCTTTCGCAGTCTGGGACCCCTCGGGGGTGACCACTTGCTGGCTTAGGCCTGCTCCCCGGGGGATTGGGCCTAAGATGGCAATCAGACATCCCTCTGGCAGCCCAGCAGCCCTCGGGGGATGTCCACTTGCCAGCGGGGAGCAGACCTAAGCTGCAGTCAGATATCCTTAGCGCTGCTGAGGAGGCAGGAGAGGCTCCCACCACCACTGCTGTACTGGCAGCCATCAGCCTGGCTTGTGGCTGAGCAGAGCTCCCCCCTGTGAGAGCGCACTGACCACCAGAGGGCAGCTCCTGCATTGAGCATCTGCCCCCTGGTGGTCAGTGTGTGTCATAGTGACCAGTCATTCCCAGTCTTTCTGCTGTTAGGGTCAGTTTGCATATTACCCTTTTACTATATAGGATAGAGGCCTGGTGCACGGGAGGGGGCTGGCTGGTTTGCTCTGAAGGGTGTCCAGGATCAGGGTGGGGGTCCCGCTTGGGTGCCTGGCCAGCCTGGATGACGGCCAGGCTGTTTGCAGCTGGTCACACCCCCTTCAGGGTGGGGGCCCCCACTGGGGTGCCTGGCCAGCCTGGATGACAGGCTGATGGCTGTTTGCAGCTGGTCACACCCCCTTCAGGGTGGGGGTCCCCACTGGGGTGCCTGGCCAGCCTGGATGACGGGCTGATGTCTGTTTGCAGCTGGTCACACCCCCTTCAGGGTGGGGGTCCCCACTGGGGTGCCTGGCCAGTCTGGGTGAAGGGCTGAGGGCCGTTTTCAGGCTGGCAGGTGACTGAAGCTCCCAGCCTCTTTTTTTCTTCTTTTTTTTTTATTCTGGGATTTATTTACCTTCTATGGCTGTCACTGGAGCTGAGAGCCGGCTCCAGTTCTGAGGCCATGGCTGGCTGAAAGCAGGTATCTGGAGTTTGTTTAGCTTCTATAATTGAAACTCTGTTACCATCACTGGCGCTCTAAGCTCTGAGCCCGCTGGCGGCTGAAAGCAGGTATCTGGGTTTGTTTAGCTTCTATAATTGCAACATTGTTGCATCCGGAGCTCAGAGCTGGGCTGCGGCAGGCAGGGAACCTTGGCTTCCTCAGTCACTGGAGCAAGCAAGCCTCATGTTCGCTTCAGCTGCGTGGCTGCTGGCCACCATCTTGGCTGGCAGTTAATTTGCATATCCTGCTGATTAGCCAATGGGAAGGGTATCGAAGTTACGATTAATTACCACGTTTCTCTATTATTAGATAGGATGCCCTTCTTTATCTTCTGACAGGTTTTTTTCCCTGACAGTTTTTTACTTAAAGTCTGTGCTGTCTGAGATGAGTAGGGTCATTCTGCTCACTTTTGCATGGAATATGTTTTTTTCATCCTTTCACTTCAGCCCATGTGTATCCTTACATCTAAAATGAGTCTCTTGTAACAGCATATAGTTGGGTCTTACTTATTATTATTATTTTCTAAATCTTCACCCAGGGACATGCTTATCGACTTGAGAGAGAGAGGGGAAGGAGAGAGAGATACGTCGATGGGCGAGAGAAACATTGATCGGTTGCCTTCTCATACGAGCCCTGACCAGGGATTGGCCCTGTGACCTTTCCATGTATGGGACGATGCTCCAACCAACTGAGCCACACTGGCCAGGGCAGTTGGATCTCATTGGTTTATCCATTCGGCCACTCTCTGTATTTTGGTTGGGGAGTTTTAATACATTTCCATGTAAAAAGCCAGGAGTTGGGGGTTTTCTCCTGCTCGTTCTATGCCGGGCCAGGGGCAGGGGCCATGGTGGGGGAGTGTGGTTTGTTCTCAACAGCACCCAACCTGGTGCCATCTCCTGCCAGCACTTAGATTCAGAGAGAACAAACACTAGCCAGTCTGGCAGCCCCCCGAGAGGCCGGCATGCTGGGCGTATGTCTCAGGCTCCCCTTTCTCTCCTGAGGGAGACTGAAGATTTTCTTCAGTCGGACCAGGCTGAGCCAGGGGGAGGGACCGAGATGAATGACTGTCATGGCTTTTCCTTCCAGCTTTGATGCAGCTGCTCTGTGCTTGCCCGGGGTTTGGGAGCCTCTTCACTGGTTTCGGGATTTCTCTTAAAGGGAACCGGTCCGTGTGTTACGGAGTTGATGGTTTCTGGGAGCAGGAGAGTGTGTCCTGTCCTGCCATCTTGCTGACACGAACACCTTCTCGTGGCATCGTGGTAGGCTTTGCCCTTCTCTAGATTGGGAGCCCTTGGAGGATTAGGGCCCATGCCGTCACTGCATGCTCAGATTTTAACACGGTCAAGAGACAAGAGTACACACCGCACCGGAAGGCAGTGCATCGGGGGAGCACATACGTCTGCCGAAGAGCTTCTGGAAGTGCACTGGTTAAGAACGTGTTGGCCGTCAGAGCTGGCTTTCGGGTCTGACTGCAGTTACTGTCGGAGGGACCCGGGTCTGTGTTCTCGCCTCCCTGAGCCTGGGCCTCTAAGCTGTAATGGGCCAGTCTCAGTGAAGCTTCTGGAGGACTGGCTGAAATCCGACGTGTTTGGCGCCTAGTGCGTGTGGAGGGTGATGGGGACGTTACCTGATGCTAAAAAGATGTCTGGTCTGTTTGTTTCAGATGCTTGCTCTGTCAAGGCAGCACCTTGTGTCTCCTTTGCCCAGCGTGACGTCCTTCAGCCGTTTCTACAGAGGTGACAGCCCGTCAGATTCCCAGAAGGATATGATTGAAATCCCTCTGCCTCCGTGGCAGGAGCGACCTGATGAGCCCATAGAGACCAAAAGAGCCCGCCTGCTGTATGAGAGCCGGAAGCGGGGGATGCTGGAGAACTGCATCCTGCTCAGGTGGGGGCGGGGCTGGGGGCCATTGCTCTTCGGCTGGAGACGACCGGCCTTTTAACTTCTCTCTCTTCTCTCTCTCTCTCTCTCTCTCTCTCTCTCTCTCTCTCTCGTTTTTAGCCTCTTTGCTAAAGAATATCTGCATCAAATGACAGAGAAACAGCTGAACCTGTATGATCGCCTGATTAACGAGCCCAGTAATGACTGGGATATTTACCACTGGGCTACAGGTACGGGGGCGGGGGTCGGGGGGTAAGCGGAATGTGAAAAGTAGGATGACTTGGGCTGATTTGAGTCTGGAATTATATCCTAGGCAATTAACCCTCCCCCCTTTATTCGTGCAAATAGACATTCACCAGACACTGTTCATTTTTCCAAAGTGTGTAACATTTGTCTGCTTAGTTAAGGTTCTTTGTGTGCAAACAGTAGACACCTATTCTGTGTAACGTAAGCAAAAGGGTAATTTAGTGAGACTGTACAGGTCTCCGAGGCAGGTTGAGGAAAGACTCGGCTGGGACTGGAGTGGAGCCAGAAACGGACGTCTCACCCGTTCTCGCACCCTCTGGGTCTTCTGTGTTTTTGTTCCCACTCAACATGCGTCACAAAATAGGAGCCGTTCTGCAGGTCCATGTCTCCTCTGTTCTGACAGATTTCCTCGGTACTCGTTCTATCAGTGAGAGAGGACTGTAAAAGCTCCATCTGTAATTGTGGATTTATTACTCCTTTCAGTTCTCTCAGTTTTTCTTCATATATTTTGAAGCTCTGTTATTAGGATTGTTATATCTTCTTCTTTTTAAAAAAAAAAATATATTTTATTGATTTTTTTACAGAGAGGAAGGGAGAGGAATAGAGAGCCAGAAACATAGATGAGAGAGAAACATTGATCAGCTGCTTCCTGCACACCCCCTACTGGGATGCGCCCACAACTGAGGTACATGCCCTTGACGGGAATCGAACCCGGGACCTTTAAGTCCGCAGGCATCGGCTCTATCTACTGAGCCAAACCAGTCAGGGCAGGATTGTTATATCTTCTTGATGAATTGACTCCTTTATCATTATCCCAGAGGCCCGATGCACAAAATTCATGCAGAGGTAGCCTTCCTTCCCCCGGCTGCCGGTACCAGCTTCCCTACGTCCGCTGGCTTCGTCAGGAAGGTTGTCCGGTCTAATTAGCATATTGCGCTTTTATTATTATAGATAATGCCTGTCTTTATTGCTGATAATGTTCCTTGTTCCAAAGTATCTGATCGTAATTTAGTCACTCCATGTACTTTTGATGAGTGTTTACATGGTATGTTTTTCCATCTATATTTCTGTTGCTATGTAGTAAATTAACACAAACTTAGTGACTTTATTTTTTTAAATTTATCTTTATTGTTCAAAGTATTACAGATGTTCCCCCCCCATAAGCCCCCTCCACCCCACCACTCCCACAAACTTAGTGACTTCAAACAACCCCTGTCTGTTAGCTCAGAGCTGTGCCCAGATCTCACAGTCTGGAAACTCATTCAGGTTGTAGGACTGACATCCCAATGGTCTTGTTAGCTGCTGATCTCTTTCAGCTCCTGGAAGCCACTCTCTGATCTGTGCCCTGTGGCCCCTCCAGCTCAGCAGTGGAGCCTCCCTCACAAGGAATCCCTCTCAGGCTTCAAAGCTACCCGGTTTCCCCTTCTGTCACCTCCTGGAGAAAACCCTGCTTTTAATAGAGCTCATGTGATGAGGTCAGAACCACTTGGAAAAGTTCCCTGTCCCAAGGCCAACTGTGCCGCAGCGACATGCCCGGTCGTGCTCACAGGCGGGGATTTCACAAGCCTTGTGCACCGTTCTTTTACTTTAAATTGAGCCTCTTGCAGACAACATATTTAGTCTTTATTTTTTTGTCCAATCTTATCTCTATCTGTTCATTGGTATGTTTTGGTCATTTACATATAATTAATTATCAATGTGATTGCATTAAAATTTACCATCATTTTGTTTTCTATTTCTTCCATCTGTTCTTTGTTCCTTTTCCCCTCTATTTCCATGGGGTTTTTTAAATGAGTATTTTAAATTTTACTCCACTTTTGCTTTATTATTTATACCTCTCTTTATAATTTTTTTAGTGATTGCCCTAGGGCTTGCAGTCTACATCTTTAATTAATCACAGTCTACCTTCAAGTAATATTATAGTACTTCATGTATAATGTAAGAACTTTACAGTAGCACACTCACTCCAATTCCTCCCTCCCATCTTTTGTGCTATTGTTGTCATACTTTCTATTTTTACTTATGCTGTAAGCCTACACTACATTTCTGTTGTTTTACTTCAGACAATTATCTACAGAGCAATTTAAAATAAGGAAAAGGATAGCATATACATATATAAAAGTTATAACATAGTATCTTATATGTAAATACATGGATAATGTAATATGTAACATTTATATAATATATAATTACATTATCCTATATAATAAGAGGCTAATATGCAAATCGACCGAATGGCAGAATGACCAGTTGCTATGACACGCACTGACCACCAGGGGGCAGACGCTCAATGCAGGAGCTGCCCCCTGGTGGTCAGTGCACTCCCACAGGTGGAGTGCCACTCAGCCAGAAGCCGGGCTCACGGCTAGTGAGCGCAGCAGCAGTGGCGGGAGCCTCTCCCACCTCTGCGGCAGCGCTAAGTTCCGGAAGCCAATTCCAGACAGCAGGGCTGAATCGAGTGGCTGAAGGGCATTTTCCCAAACCTGAAAAGGATAATTGCTTGCTGCCAGACAGCTAAGGGCATCTTAATCTACATATTATTGCCTCCTACTGGCCAAACACCTGAACAGCCGAAGGCAGTTTCTCCAAAACCTGATAATCTGACAATGGCCTCTGTATATGAAACCTGACCCTTTGATGTGTATATCTCCGCCTCACCTTAGGATAAATTGTGTTAATAAAAAGCAAGGGGTCCTGAGATGAGGAGATCTTAGTTTCTTTAGCTAGGCTCCTCTGACCCCCAAATGCCTTTCAAAATTATGTTTCGTCTCTGGACTCTTTATTAAGTTACACATAGCCCTTCTCTAGATTGCTGAACCCCTTCTTAATGCCGGAACAAGAACCCTGGCAGCTAAGGACCCCTCGGGGGATGTCCACCTGCCAGCTTAGGCCTGCTCCCCATGCTGAGCAGGCCTAAGCCAGCAGGCGGACATCCCCTGAGGTGTCCCAGACTGCAAGAAGGCACAAGTCAGGCTGAGAGACCCCACCCAGTACACAAATGTTGTGCACCGGGCCTCTAGTATTTTATATTACCTTATTTTAATCATCTCTGAGTTCTTCATTTCTTTATGTAGATCCATATTTCCATCTGGTATCATATTCCTGAAGAATTTCCTTTAATATTTCTTGTAGTGTAGGTCTGCTGCTTTTGGCATTTTTGAAAGATATTTTCACTGGATATAGAATTATAGGTTCACAAATTTTCCTCACATTATAGGGGCACACTTTTTGCTAGGCTGGAGGACTGAGTCAGTCTGTTCAGTTGAGCTGGATTTGGGTTGTTGCTGCTTTGGTTACCTTGTACCAGCAGCTTCAAATTCCCTTAGTGTTACCATGTGCCATTTTCTGGTCTCCCTGGTTTTTGGCATGGGGTCTGCTGTGTCTTTGTTCCTTTGTATATAATGTATCTTTTCTTTCTGAATGTTTCCAGCATTTTATCTTTGGCTTCTAGCAGTTTGAATGTGATATGCTAGATGCTTGTGTTTGGTATTTATCCTGCTTTGGGTTCTCTGGGCACGTTGGGTCCAATTACACTTAGGTTAGACTGTTGAATATTATTTCTTAGTTTTTGGATTGTTCTGTGTCTCTTACTCTTTTTTTTTTATGCATCAGTTTGGGTAATTTGTGTTGGATAATATCTATGGACCTATCCTCAGTTCACTATGTCAAATCTCAGGATGGACCTGTTGAGGTCATTCTGCTTATTTGCTTATTTTTATTTATTTATTAAACATGTTTTTATTGATTTCAGAGAGAGTAGAAGGTAGAGGGAGAGAGAGAGAAACATCAACGTGAGAAAGAAACGTCGGTTGCCTCTCACACGGACCCCAGCACCCTGACCGGGGACCGAACCCGCAGCCCATGCATGTGCCTTGACCAGTGACCCCTCAGTGCATGGGATGACCCTCCAGCTGAGCCATACCGGCCAGGGCTGCTTGCTTTTATTTTTAACCTTCCCCTTTCACTTTTACAGTTTCCACCTGTGCTGGAGTTCCTTACCGGTTCATCCATTTGTGTCTCCTTTTTCCACTAGGGCAGTGGTTCTCAACTTTCTGGCCCTTTACAGTTCCTCATGTTGTGACCCAACCATAAAATTATTTTCGTTGCTACTTCAGAACTGTAATGTTGCTACTGTTATGAATCGTAATGTAAATATCTGATATGCAGGATGGCCTTAGGCGACCCCTGTGAAAGGGTCGTTCGACCGCCAAAGGGGTCGCGACCCACAGGTTGAGAACCGCTGCACTAGGGCCTTTAACATGTTAGTCATAGTTGCTTTAAATTCCCTAAGAGTCTAACATCTGGGTCATCCCTTGGTCTGTTTCTGTGGATTGCTTTGTCCCTTGACTGTGTGTGTGTGTGTGTGTGTGTATCTCCTCATTGTGTGTTGAATGTTAGACATCGTGAGTAAGACCAGGAAGACTGAGGTAGGTAGTGCTTATGCCTAGAAGTGGCCTGTGTGTGTCCGGCTGTGAGCATGGGGGTCAGTCGGGTGAGGAGTGAAGCTCACTTTGGACGTATTGTTGCTCTGGCTCCCCTCGGTGCACCATGTGACCATGTGCTAGGGAGGGACGGAACTTCAGAGGGCGTTTCTGCAGTGCTTCTGTTCACCCTCCGCTTCCAGCCTTCCTTGCATGTCTGTGCCTCAGCGGGAGTCTCTCTCCCTGCTTTTCCCTCCCCGTTGTAGAGCCTGCTGCTCTCTACTTGGTGCTTGTTAGTGTGGGGAGGGGAAGGGGGGAGGGTCTCTGTGAGCCCCGCCCAGCTCAGTCCCTGTGGCCCTGGGTCTGAGGGGCGGGCCTTCTCAGCGACCCACCTGCTCATCCCACGGGGGAGGACTTGCTTTTCCTTTACCCTCCCATCAGCCCAAATGGGTCCTCGTGTGCCCGGGGGAGACAGGGTTTGCTCACCTGCTCCCGGAGGCTTTTGTTCTGCGGAAGGCAGGGCTGGGCCAGGCTTCAGGCTTTCTTGGGGGTCTGCTCCCCTCCTCGCGCCTGCGTCCCTTGAGGGAGGCTTTCTCTCCAGCCTCCCGTCCTGATCCAGGCTTGTCAGGAGCATCCTCGGGTGAGAGAACCTGTCTGTGGGTGGGACTCCCCTGCGTCCGTGGCTAGTGCGCAGCGGCTTTTAGCGGCTCATTGACATTCAGCCGAGGCTTCGCCCTGTTTGTGTCCTGCCCGGTGCCTCTTCTGTGCTCGGGCTCAGGTCCCCGTCTCCTGGGGGGCCCCATAGGTTTCACTCTGCTCGGGGTCTGTGACCTCAGCGCTGATGGCCTCACGAGGACGCGGGAGTCCAGTCCACCTGGCTTCCTGCTAAAGAGGGGAGCAGTGCTCTTTCCCACCGTCACACCCTAGGGGC